TAATGTTGGGTTCACATGAGAATGCTTCTAAATGAAAGAAATGAGAATAAATCTTACTAAAAAAAACCAAAATTATTCCTTTATTAAGGATATTTTAGACATTATCACATATATATATATAGGGGGCGGATCAAATGCGACCAGCTCTTAAAATGCGGACGTGAGACCCAATCTGGGTCGTCCATTTAGCGGACAACTCTTAAAATACGCACAACTCTTAGCAACAACAGACAATTAACCTAGCACAATCAGACAACTAACCTAGCACAATTAGACAATTGAGGTGGGCGCGTGGGTCTAGGGTTGCAAACGAGTTGAGCGGCTTGCGAGTCGCTCACGAGCGCTCGAGTCAAAGCTCGAGTCGAGCTCGAGATTGACCGAACTCGAGTCGAGCTTGAGCGACTCTAGCACGAACTCGAGCTCATAAAGACATTATTCAATGGGAGAGAGAAAATGAAGAGAGAGCGAGAGAACATACCTGATGAACAAATGTGGCTCTCTCCGCGAAAGTTCGGCAACTATACTGCAAAACAACAATCCAAAAAATAAAAAAAGGCAACAAAAATCATGAAAATTATAAACAACAAAAAAGTAAGGGAAGGTTTAAGTGTTAGTGTGTATATTTAAAGCTTGACCATTTGCATAATGAACACTACTATCCTGTTGAATGAGAATCATGTTTAATTAAATTGTCCTGCATTCTGATGCTTTACATTTGGATATTTTGGTTCATCAAGGATGGACAGAAGATCATATATTTGTTACTTGTAAAACATAAACGATTTGGTTCACATCCTAGATGTAAATGAACAACTCATCGTGAACGGTTGTAGTGTCAATTGTGCATTCTGTCGTTACTGACTGTTGCACTAGTACACTTTGTGTATTGTACCAAAAACCGTGGTTACCTGAATTATAGGTACCAGAATCGACATGTTTATTTATTTAATTTTGTTGATATGGCTCATATATTGACAAAGGAAGAAGGCAGGCTGATGCCTGCTAGCGTAACGGAGCGAGGGAAGCGGAGCGAACGTAGCGAGGGAAGCCGAGCGACCGAGCGAATTGAGCGGGGGTGCGGGGGCAGAGCCCCCGCGGTACGGTACGGGGTATTTAAGTAAATTAATACCTTGTAGGATTATAGTATAAATACATGGTGTATTGATGTATTTGAGACTATTGAAAATAATTAAGATCCCTCAGCCGCCGTGGATGTAGGCACATTGCCGAACCACGTAAATCTTGTGTTGTTTACTTTTCTCGTTTTTTAATTCGTATGTCATATTGTCATCTTTACTCAACAAATTTTATTTTCGGATTTTCGTTTTGCATGCGTTAGTTTCGACTGATCATTAACAATATATATAGAGAGAGAAACATATCAAGTGGTAAAGATTTTTATCTCGTAGATATGAACTAAAAATCACATCCTGATCCTATTTTGATTAATGTTTACAAAATTTGTATATATGCAAATAAGTCTTATAGGGGGTCTATGTAGGTAAATTTCCCTTCTCTAAGGGCATCCATGTTTATTTATTTAATTCTTTTTCTTTTTGTTTTTTTATTTTATTTATTTTAATTTATATCACACTTTTCAATACAGATAAATTCAAATTTTATCTATATCACACTTCTCTATATGTATCAATAATTTACATTTCCTATCCCCATTTTTTCCTATAAATTTACACTTCAGTTTGTCACTTCTCTTCACCAAAAAAATTCTCACTTCTCTTACACCAGAAAATTTAGCAACTATTCATTTGCCTAAAAAAATGGATCCGAATAATAGGCAAAATTTTCAACATTTCTTAAGTTCTAATCCTAGAAATCCAGATGAAATTCCATTCTTCCAAAATTCACAAACTCCGCCGAATTTACCATTTTCACAAACTCTTTATCCTGCAAAATTTTTCCCACAATTCCCATCAATTTTTTCTTTTATGCAACAACAATCCCAAAATTATCCAAGTTCCACCAATATTCAATATTCACAATATCCTCCATAAGTTTTATTTTAAAACCCGCCGCCTAAATATTGGCAATACATGAGTAGTAAAAATCCGGTGCAATCTTCTCCGCAACAATCGAGTCAATCTTTCGGATCTCAAAGGAGGAAAGAATTCGATACTCAAACTTACGTTCCAAAAACACAATTCCTGGATCTTGAAGCAACTATTAATGTTGAAATCCCAAAAAATACACATGTTGCTGCTGAAGGCAGGAAAAACGTCCACAATGGACAAAGGAAGAGGATGTGCAATTGGCAAAAGCTTATGTAACAATAAGTGACGATTCAATTACCGGTAATGATCAGAAGGCCGGAGCGTTTTGGGTGCGTGTTGCAAATTATTATAACGAAAATAGACCTTCTGATTATATTAACAGAAATGCTAATATAATAAGATTTCACTGGCATAATACGATTCAAAAAAAAAGGTGTATCGATTCAATGGGTGCTATAACAGTATCTACAATGTTTATCGAAGTGGTTGTAGTGATGAGGATATTTTAAGTCGAACTTACGAAAAATATCGTATTGAGAATGATTGTGTAGCTTTCAATCTTGAGCATGTAAGGAGAATCATTAAAGATCGTCCTACGTACACCCCACAGTGTTCTAATGATATTTTTGTTGAGAGAAAAAAGACGAGAATTGATGAGTCTGGTGCCAGCAATACTTCATCAAAGGGGGATGCAAGCATTGACTTAAATGATATTCATGATGTGGCTCACCCCATCGGCCAGAAGGCAGCCAAACAAAAGGCCAAGGGCAAAGACCAATTTAACTTTGATGAGATGGCCACAGAATATAACAACATAGTTAAGCATCTTGCTGAGTTAACTAGCTTGAAAAAAGCTGAAGTTGAAGTTAAAAAAGCTACTGATGAGGAGAAGAAACATAGAAATCATCGGAAAGACTATGATATCTTAATGAAGGACACAAGCCACATGACCCAAGAGCAACATATTTCTCATGAAAAAAATGTGTCAATAATTCGAGAGAGATGGAACTTTTAGACGTTGTATTATCTGTTTTAATCATCTTTGTATTTCTGTATGTTTTGATTGGATGTATTCAACTTTTAGCTTATATTTCTTATAAGTGGTTCTTGTTCTTGTTAAATTGTTAGTCAGTCTTTCATTAAATTGTTCTTGTTCGAAATTAAATTTGTAGTATGTCTGTATTTGACAAATGTATTGTCTGTTAAACAATATGACTAATCAAATTGCTGGTCAAAATAAATATCAGAAGATAAGATATGATTTTGAAAAGTTAATCGGTTTCCTTACACAAATAAGCATGTGGATAAAAGAGAGTGTAACATTTTTATTGAATGAATGAAAAAAAAAAAAAAAAAAACCCAATGTGGATGCCCTAAATTGTTTACAAGTATCGGCGATCTTGTAAAATCGGGGCTTTTCCAATGAGAAGCCCAAATCCGTTTCCTCCGGCTCAAAGGCCCAATAATGTCAGCGCATAACTCATGAGTCATTTTATTCCAACACAAACTCCTCGTCGTGGGCAAACTGTTCCGTCGTGTTCTTTCGGTCAACTCAAATTTCTTACCTTTTCTCCTTACATTTCATTGATTTCAAGCTTATTTTGGGTATCAACTGTAAATTTTGTTGCTATTTTCTACCAATGTAGCTTTTTCTAAATCCCTAATTTTCACCTCTGTCCCCGTTAATTGGCCAATGTCTGGATTATTTACCAGGGACCCTTTTCACATCGGAGGTGAGTTCACTTGTTTTCTTGATCCTTTTTTGCTCCTTCCTTATTTTGGGATTTTTTATGGCGAATTGCCATTTGCGTATGTTTGGTATGAATTCATAACTATGATTTCGAATCTCTGATGGTTGTAAGTGTGGCTGAATGCAGTTAATAGATTGTTTTAATTTAATGGTGTTGATGGGTTCATACAATGTAGAAATCTTGTAGTTTGGCTTGAAATGTTGGAATAATTGGTATCTTTCTGATAAGTTGATTTAATGTTAATGCATTTGGTGTGGTGTTCTTTTATGTCATTAAAGGCATGTGAATCTTTTGTGAGTGCTGATCATTTCATTTCACTCTTGCGAAATCCGAAAATGTTACTGCTCACACCTTGTTTTGTGCTAAATCTGGTAATTATAGATGCCTTGAAATGCACAGCTGTGAGTTGTTTCCTTAGTGTTCAGTAATGATCTTTCTACCTAGTCGCAGCTTGGCCTCAACGTATAAATTCTTTTATTTTATGTTACAATCGAGCAGAAGATAAGTTGAATATCATGACTTTGAGTTGAAAAAAAAATGATGTAAATTGTATTCTTATTGGTTTGTTGTTCTTCCTTTTGAAGGAAAAAAGAAAAGAAGAAACATAGGAATTAGTAGAAGTTTCTACTCTTTAACTGCTATTTTGCACTAACAGCCTCTAAGGGCTCTCGTGCAATTCATTCATTTTCTGTTTCAACTGATTAATCATTCTCAATTGCGTAAATTTCACATTTATAAACACGTAACAGTGTATTTATCCTCTTCACATATCATGGTGATCTGAACTCTGATGCTTGAATATCACATCACCTCTGATGCTTGATTAGAGTTATTAACCTTTTTATCTCCAGATTTCGATAGGAGGGCCACTTCCTTCTGAGAACTACACGTCTTTCCTTATTCTTGGAAGACCCGCATTAAGAACGAGCTAGTCCTTTTTTGCATTCATGAAACCAAAAGACAATGAAAACCCCATTCTTCCCCAAGCGCTATGTGATCGTGATCTTGACATTCATCTGTACATGTGTGTGCTACATAGAACGGGTCGGCTTCTCCATAGCATACACCGCCGCTGCTGATGCCGCCGGTGTAAATCAGTCGAGCAAGGGCATAATACTCTCAATGTTCTACTACGGGTATGCGTGCTCCCAGGTGCCAGGTGGCTGGGCAGCCCAGAAGATCGGTGGCAGACGTGTCCTCCTTATCTCCTTCGTTCTCTGGTCCCTCACCTGTGCCTTCATTCCTCTAGATCCGAATAGAGTCCCGCTTCTGGTCTTGGCCCGACTGCTCGTGGGTATAGCTCAAGGATTCATCTTTCCCTCCATCCATACCGTGCTGGCCCAGTGGGTCCCACCGCACGAGAGGTCTCGATCGGTCTCCCTCACGACCTCGGGCATGTATTTTGGGGCTGCCATGGGAACCCTTGTCCTCCCGACCCTCGTACGGATGCGGGGCCCACAGTCAGTGTTTGTGGTTGAGGCTGCACTGGGCGCCATGTGGTCTCTGCTTTGGCTCCGGTACGCGAGCGACCCGCCCCGTTCGGACCACCCGAAGGCCATGGCTGCCGGATTTGGCGAGTCCCTGCTCCCGATGAAAGACGATAGTCTAAAGACGAAGGCAGAAAACGGGCCCAAGATTCCGTGGAAGAGGATTTTTCTGAGTTTGCCGATTTGGGCCATAGTGGTGAACAATTTCACTTTCCACTACGGTCTTTACGTTCTCATGAACTGGCTCCCGACCTACTTCGAGCTGGGACTGCAGCACAGCCTTCAGGAGATGGGCTCGTCCAAAATGGTGCCGTACCTCAACATGTTTGTGTTCTCCAACATAGGTGGCGTGCTTGCGGACCACTTGATCACGAGGAGGATTTTGTCCGTGACTAAGACGAGAAAGCTTTTGAATACGGTGGGGTTTGTGGTGGCCTCTTTTGCATTGATGGGGCTTCCTCTGTTCAGGACGCCCGATGGGGCCGTGTTTTGTTCTTCGGTGGCTCTCGGTTTCTTGGCGCTCGGGCGGGCTGGATTTGCAGTGAATCATATGGATGTTGCCCCCAGATATGCGGGTATTGTTATGGGGGTTTCTAATACGGCGGGTACTTTGGCTGGGATAGTTGGGGTTGATCTTACGGGTCGGCTTCTTGAAGCGGCTAAGGAGGCCGAGTTGGATCTCACGAGCCCGGATAGCTGGAGAGCGGTTTTTTGTATCCCGGGCTTGCTCTGTATTTTTAGCTCGTTTGTGTTTCTTGTGATGTCCACTGGGGAGAGGATTTTTGACTGAGTAAAAGCATAGTTTTGCTTGGTTGCGAGAAAGAACTGATTCCAGTGATGAATTTTGGGTTTTGAAGATTAAGGTCTTTAATTTTTTTTTTTAAGTATTATTCATTTTATTTAGTTCTCATTAATCTTAGTTATATATGTTCACATGTTATGCTTATAAGAGAATTCTAATTATGGACTGTTTTGAGATGAAGGGATCGACTCAGAACTTGAGTGAAATGTGGATTAAAAAAAAAAAATAAAAAAAAAATTGCTATTTCTGCCCAACTAAAGCTTGGATTGCTTGCATATAAGATAGTGATTGGTTTTGGTTTTGATTTTTTTTTTTTTTTTTTTTTTTTTTTT